TGTGAGTCGCCTTCGGGCTTGAGATACAGCGGTATATAAGCAAAGTAAATAAATAAATAAATAAGTTTGGTCCAGATCCATCATTGTTTGAGTCCACAGTGCTCTGTGGATGTAAGTGAACTACAACTCCAAAATGCAAGGTCAATGCCCACCAGACCCTTCTAGTATTTTCTGTTGGTCATGGGAGCTCTGTGTGCCAAGTTTGCTTCAATTCCATTATTGGTGGAGTTCAGAATGCTCTTTGATTGTACGTGAACTATACATCCCATCAACTATAATTCCCAGATGACAAAATCAATCCCTCTCCACCCCATCCAAATTTGGACGTATTGTATATGTGTGCTGAATTTGGTCCAGTGAATGAAATTACACCCTGCATATCAGATATTTACAATATGATTCTTAATTGGAGTAAGATTACAATTATGAAGTAACAATACAAATAATTTTATGATTGGGGGTCACCACAACATAAGGAAGTGTATTAAGGGGTCGTGGCATTAGGAAGGTTGAGAACCATTGGACTAGGCTTAATGTCAAGGGGAAACCTTTACCTTTTACCAAGACTAAAGGCAAATGCATGTCACTTCCATGCTTCGTCTTTATGCATTTTGCATTGTAATTGACAGCCATATGCCTTGACTATTGATCCACGAATGTTGCACTATGTTGGTATTCCGCATAGAAGGTTACAAAACCTAACTCCACCCGCAAATATTTATGTTACATGGAAGCAATGTAGCATATCCCCCATAATATTCAGAACCATCTGTTATCTTGGCCCATGAGTCAGCAGATACCATGCTATCTCCCAATGTTGGCAGCAGGAAAACCAGCAATAATTGGAGTAAAATAGCTTCTTGTTCACTGCCCTTTTAGAATAGTCCAAATGCCCGGCATCCCTATGACAAATGTGTTCTTCAAGCTAGTTTGGAATTTGCCATGTTACATTTTTTTATAAGTTTTGTGCTGAATTGTTTCTGAGATATGGCAACCCTCAGGTGAACCTATCGCAGGGTTTTCTTGGTGGGATTTAGGCTCGAGGGAACTTGTTTGTGCCTTCCTCTGAGGCTGGGGGAGAATGACTTGCCCAAGGTCACCAGTGGGATTCCCTGACCGAGCGAGAATTTGAACCCTGCTCTTCAATGTCATTGAGATTGTAGGTGACCCCCCCCCCCCCAGGACTCTGTAAAGGATAGTTCAAAATCAGGGAATTCATAGTTTTGCCAAGGACACCAGGCTTGAATGATCCCATAATCCCCTATCATTCCCCCATGTGGGAACCCAAGGCTTCTTCTATGGTCCCACATGGCAACGCCCCTGTAAGCCAAAGCAGCATCTGACCAATTTGGCTATTATTTATTAATTGGATTCCTGTTTTATGAATGGACTCATAGAATCAAAGAGTTGGAAGAGACCTCATGGGCCATCCAGTCCAACCCCCTGCCAAGAAGCAGGAATATTGCATTCAAAGCACCCCTGACAGATGGCCACCCAGCCTCTGTTTAAAAGCTTCCAAAGAAGGAGCCTCCACCACACTCCACCACACAGAGAGTTCCACTGCTGAACGGCTCTCACAGTCAGGCTTAGACTCCGGCCCCTCAGTGCTCCCACTGGCTTCTATGTGCTCCCCATGAACTTTTGGGAGCTCTTGTGGACTTTCATAAACTTTCCAAGTACTCTTATGAACTTTTCCCAACTTCTATAAACTTTTGGGAACTTTTATCAACTTTTGAGGACTTTTAGGACCTTTAGGAACTTCCATGGACTCTTTGTCAAATTCCTATGAACTCTTTTTATCAACTTTTCCAAATTTGTATGAACTTCAATTGACTTTGGGAAGGGCTGATATAGGACCCCTGACCCTGCATGATTTCCCCTCTCCTTATGAATTCATTATATGTTCCCTTACCCCATTCCCATCCCTTATATGTATGTATCTATATGAAAATATGAAGGAAAGCAACCTTTTTTTCTAATAAACCAGTAACTCTTAACTTTGGAAGCCCCCAACAAAAGGCTCTCATCAAGTTCATTTGCATGGACAATAAGTACTGTATATACTCGAGTATAAGCCTAGTTTTTCAGCCCCCTTTTTAGGCTGAAAAATCTCCCCTCGGCTTATACTTGAGTCAATGTTATTTACTATTTTACTCTGTTATTAGTATTATTTTTTTGCATTTATTATTTTACTTTATTATTATTATTACATTTATTATTTTACTCTTTATTGTTATTATAACATTTATTATTTTACTCTATTATTGTTATTATTGCATTTATTATTTTACTCTCTTAGTACTGTTACTACATTTCCATTATTTTACTCTATTATTATTTTTATTACATTTATTATTTTACTCCCTTTATTATTATTGGAAGGATATGTAAGCACATTTACATTGAAGAAGGTTAGAATAATGGTTTAATCAGAATCGGACAGCTTTATCTTAAATTACAATTTTATGTGAATATTTTTGAATATTTACTCTACTGATGCCTCAATTAATGTAATTTTATTGGTATCTATTTTTATTTTGAAAATTACCAGTAGCTGCTGCATTTCTTGCTCTCGGCTTATACTCGAGTCAATACATTTTCCCAGATTTTTGTGGTAAAATTAGGTGCCTCGGCTTATATTCGGGTCGGCTTATACCCGAGTATATACGGTAAATGGTTCTTATCTGACCAGATCTCGGAGGGCAAAGCCAGGCCATCTTGAATGAGAGGACCTATGGACATTTAAATCACTCAACACAAAGCGTATCTTCCTATCTGCGAGGAACCAGAAATTTCACCACATCTTCTCCACTGTGTCATATCCTGACTGGCCGAAACCAACCTCAGCTTCACCAAAGAACCACATATCCCAAGACTATGAAACACAGAATCTAGTTCTTTGAGGGCTAGACAGAGATGATGATTCAAAATATTAAAACAATAACTCATATTCTGGCTTGAGAGCTAAACTATCGCTGAATTGTCACGCAAACATTGGTCACCTAAATCCTGACAACTAGACATCACTTCATTGTTTCCCTGTTGCCCGCCTCCCTTCCCTCTCATTGGCTGAGCAGCCAAAGCAGGGCTCAGGCCGCCATTGGCTCTCCTGCTGGCTTGCTGACATCACATACATCATAACATCATAACAAAGCCAGCTTTTTTTGGGGGGGGGGGTTGATGGGCATGGGAACTTTTGAATCTGAAGGCTATAAATATTATATCTCTCTGCCCAATGGGCATGTTGATTTTTGGCAGACTACTGTAATCATCATCCTTTCCAGCTGGAATGAAATAAAAACGTCGGTGGTTTTCTCTTCAATATTCTGTAATATTGGCTCCTCTTTCTCACCAGGCAACCCACAATGGCTTGGGGAAATGTTTAGCCTGAAGAAGAGAAGATTGAGAGGAGATATGATAGCCATGTATAAATATGTGAGAGGAAGTCATAGGGAGGAGGGAGTGAACTTGTTTTCTGCTTCCCTGGAGACTAGGACACGGAACAATGGCTTCAAACTACAAGAAAGAAGATTCTGGAGGAGGACGACTAAAATGTTCAAGGGTCTGGAGAACAAGCCCTGTGAGGAGCGGCTTAAGGAGCTGGGCATGTTTAGCCTGAAGAAGAGAAGGCTGAGAGGAGACATGATAGCCATGTATAAATATGTGAGAGGAAGGGAGGAGGGAGCAAGCTTGTTTTCTGCTTCCCTTGGAGACTAGGACGAACAATGGCTTCAAACTACAAGAAAGGAGATTCCATCTGAACATGAGGAAGAACTTCCTGACTGTGAGAGCCGTTCAGCAGTGGAACTCTCTGCCCCAGAGTGTGGTGGAGGCTCCTTCTTTGGAAGCTTTTAAACAGAGGCTGGATGGATGGCCATCTGTCAGGGGTGATTTGAATGCAGTATTCCTGCTTTTTGGCAGGGGGTTGGACTGGATGAGGACTCTTCCAATTCTATGATTCTATGAAATCCTTATTTTAGTAAGAGAGCAATGGGAAGGACAGAATGAATATGCTCAATGCATTTTAAACCAGGCCTGGATCTTGCAATACGTTTGCTGCTTAGATCTGGAAATTTGATTGGGTTTCTTTTTTCATGCACATTGCAAACCAGACCCATAAAAGCAGCTGCACGGAAGAAGAGAATCATAGATCTGTCAACTCCACTTACTTAAAAAGTCACCAGTCATAAACTCACAGGCCTCACAGCACTGCCTG